GCATCATACACCCCGCAAATATGGTTTTTCTTTTTATGTTTTTGTACTTAGATTTTTGTTTGCAAATGTTTGTACGCATTTAATTTAGATTTTGTTTTTAATTCGAGTGCCATCCTGGTTGTTTAATAGGCTACTTTTCCACTGTTATTGTGCTTAATGTGAATTTTATTTTTGTGTTTCTTTCTCATGTGAGAGTATTTGTTGTTTCTTCTATTTACAATGTAGTTGTATTTATAGTTTTACTTTAACGGCGTCCGTAGTAGCCAGACAATACATTCTGTGATTACGTTACCTTAGTATTGAAACACAGTGGCATATTTTATTTAACTATTCATATATAAACTTAAAGCGGGAGGGTCGTCACCTGCGCACGAGCGGGAATTGAGTCCCAAGCGATGAAAACAACACACGCTAAGTAGGCAAAGGCCCATGGGTAGACGCTTGTTTGTAAACAATGACACGCTATGGCCATCAGACGCATGCGCAAGTGACGGCTACCCCGCTTTAAGTAAAGGCATGTTCTTGGTTGTAATCATAAATTTGCTAATCATCAGTCTTGAAGATGATCAAGAATCATATGATATGTTTCTACGGAAGTCGAACATCCACTATTGAACTTAAAAAAATATATTTGACTTAACTCACAGTAAATGGAAATAATTAAAAACCCAGTATTATCATTCGAATCCTTTCCATATAAAACAATTCCGAGATTACAGCTCCACGTTATTTAAACAATAAATGGGGAAACATTGATCCGCCGTGCTACATGCTAATTCAAATTAATAAAGAACTGCTGATATTGTAACCTGGCAATAAACGTTGGACCATAGACGTAAATGACCGCTGAGATCTCGTTGACTGCGAGAAAATTGCGAGACTTCTATTTGCCTTTCAGATATATAGTGTCCCATTTACTCCTGCCACCACCTCTTGTGTTTTAAATATCGTGGCTTCGTATTGATCAATGGAACGGTAGACGCGATGACGTCACGGTGAACCACGGACCACCATGTGAGGAAAAAAACAGCTTGAGTCTCGTGGTTCTCTCGCATTACACGATATCTCAGCGGCCATTTGCGACTAGGGTTTATCTGCCAGATCGTAGTTCGTCAAATATGTGATTGCAATTACAATTGATTCTATTAATTCCATGAGTGTGATTAGCCTAACCTATAATATCAAGGAAAAAGTCATTGATATAGGAGCATGCCTAAAACAAACCTACACAATTGAAACAACATCCCATACATTGAAAATTTTTATTTGGCTCGCCTGATACTTCTGAGGTATTAGAATTTGTGATATCCTGTGCATGCCAAATGGCGTTACCATATAAACCACGCCACACGTTTGAAATCAGACATATTGTAATTGCCCAATCCAAGATCTAACATTTAAAATAAAACAATAAAAGTTGAAAGGGGTGTGGCCAAAAATATTTAATAGATTCTGCAATGTGAAATAATGACTTTGTTATTGTATTAGCTTTCAAAATCACATTATTTTTATGATATTATCCCACGGGAAATGTGACAGCAATGGGCAAAATGTTATGAATTATGTCTGAATTGTTTTTTGGACTCGCCTACTAGAAACCGACACATACTGATAGCGCGACACGTGTTTGTTAAGTGCTGCTTATTCAGTGAAAAGGGATAATATTTCTACCTGAAAAATCTCGTTCGTAGTCCTGCGTAGTCCTCAGTTGGCCAGGGAGGTTTATACTGTTCACAATCCATGGTTCAATGCAAGAAAGGAATGACAAGTAGTTTTACTGTAACGTATTACGTAATGATTACAACAGCATCGCTCAATGGACGTGCGTGCATCTGGTCACTGACGTCGAGAGACGAGTAGTACCAAGGAGTTGTCTCAACACTCGAGATTTAGTGTTCTTGCGACTCTGCCGTTAGTGTATCTAGTCCAACGGCAGTGGTTATTTCAATGGCGATGAAGACTATTGGGAAGCTACTGGCAGGTGTTTGTCTTGTATTTGCAGTTGTCTTGATTATGCCAAAGTATGACATTCTAATGCTGTTCAAGGGTGGTTCTTACAACTTCAGATTGGCCCGAAGCGCCATTGATGACGTAGCACAGAAAATGTGGAGTACAAATCTACCGGAAAAATTCAGCGACTCTTTCCCCATTGACTCTCCCTTTACTACTCGTCACCACGGAACATGTAGATTAGACGAAAAAACGACTACCTGTAAATCGATCTATTGGCGAATGCACTCATGCCTGGAAGGCAAAACACTTGGACGGAAGCCGTTACCGAATTTTTACCTGAGAAGCGATTTGGGTCTTGACGACGTCAAAGCAACGTACCGTAATTCTAGCATTGGATACGTTCACGTTCCTAAAGCAGGGGGAACGTCGGTTGAGAAAATATTGATTCAGCTTGTCAAGCGACAATGGCGGCGAACACACGTAATACACTGCAAGCAGTTTTTTCAATCCGCTACATTGCCAAGTAACTATTCTCCTAACGATACGACCCGTATGTTGTTCGACTCTAAGCGTACATTTGGACTCCATAATTTCGTGAACTCCAACGTGCCCTTTCAGTACATCCTTTGGCTCCGTGACCCAGTCTCTCGTATTCAGTCTGCTTACTATTACATCAAACGTACACATCCGTGGGCTCACCGACTGTATACAAGATATATAAAATATACAAGAACCCTCACCGAGGCTTTGAAGAAATCAGAAGGCACACATTTCCAAGAATTCGACAATTTCTCCGTCCGCCTTCTCCAGTTCGGCGATTTCCCGGCTATAGACAATACATTCGAAGACTGCTGCGGTGCACACGTCGACCCCGATGGCGACATCGGTATTCCCGAAGTAACGGAAGAGCATTATCTGGTTGCCAAGCGTAACCTGGAGACTAAGGTGGCGTTCGTAGGTGTCCTGGATGATTTCAAGACGTCACAAGACATGCTATGTTACATGCTAGGTGTCGAATGCCCTGAGAAAGCTGTACACGTGAATGCCAATAAACACAAAACAGTTTTATCAAAGTATGAACGCGCCGAAATCGAGAAACGAAACTACTGGGACATAAAACTTTACCAAGATGCCCAAAAAATTTATGAAAAGCAGAAACTTCGATATTTGGAACTGTTTCCCGATGCGAATCCAGTGCTGAAATAAAACTACATTGTTGAGAACTATTTCTGTCAATATATGAATTAGTGCACATGTGCATATATTCTACCACATCCCATAATGCATTTCGTGTAATGCACTTTCATAATTCACTTGATACAACAGTTTTATTTTTGTTGAAGGTAACGATTTCTTTAATTATGACATTATGACTATTCAGTTCCGACGTATTATTTTTCTCGAAAATATGTTTGTCAACATGTTTATTGTTTATATATTAAAAAACAATATCACATTCGCATTTTGATTTATAGCGACGTGCGAAAACATTGTTATTGTCGCAAAGGAACTGCTAGCGATGATGATGATGATGATGATGATGATGTTGTGTTTTCGTTACATATTTTGTTGAGTAAACTAAATAACTCATAAATCGCTTGGCGATGTTCATTTGTTTATTATGTGCAGCCATGGAGCTATTGTCACAATAAAATAGCATTTGACGATATTTGAGAAACTACTATTTTTCAAAAATCATTAAAAATCAAAAAGTATCTCATCTTTAACAATATATGATTCAGTTTTTAAAGCAATCTTATGGTAAAAGTGTTATAATACTGCCAAAATGGCAACTATGAACTAAAATACAACTTACAATCATTTTCTCGAAAATTAGACTGACCCCATATTTTGTAAGTCAATATCCTTATATTTTATTGCAATTGAAGAAATTTTGGATATATGTGTATATTTGGCCCCGTCATGAAATGCTACATAACGTGTCCCTGATTAGTTGAAAGATTCAGTTGCACACAGTTACGGAACTAACTATTATGCCCCACAATATGATCACTATATGTCGTGTAGGTACCGGCATCTCCCGTTTGTTTTGCATATTTTCTGTGTACCACGCCCCTTTCGCCAAGATATGATCGGTAGACTGTGACGAACACGTGGCTGTAAATATGCAAATTTTGATCACACCCACAAGACTGATCATTTAGATTTTGAAGAAGTTTATATAGAGGGGAGGCAAGGGGGTAGCTGGTACGGTTTTACGGGAAATAAAAAGGTTTTTTTACAATTTACAGGGGAAAAAAAAGACGTTTTTACAGTTTACAGTGTTAAAAAATGGAACATTGAATGGTCCGAAGAGCTCTCCGACTCGAATTCTCTGCCATTACTGCGCCGTGTGTAGAGACGCATGCGCATATTACCCTCGTAATGCTCTTCATTCGGTTAGAGGGCCTTTTACGTATTGACATTCAATTTTGTAGTGAATTGTGTCATCTAGTCGTTTTACAGTTTCTAAAATGTAATTTCCCTGGATTATTTTTTACGATTTTTTTATTTGGATGTAAATTATTGTACGTACCGAGAAAAATGACACATTTTTACAGTGTACGAAAACAAAATATTTGATTGATTACGTTGTACGTCTAGCCTGTGATTACAGAATTACGGAATTTATTTTTTCTATTTACGTTGTACGAACCAAAAAATATTGCAATTACGTTGAACGAAAATAACCCTTGCCCCCCTCTATATACTGAAACCTGTTTAAATTAACACGGTTTAAATTTACGATGAAAATCTAAACAATATTGATCCATTATCTGTACGATACGTCGAGAAAGCTATTGGGAATAAGAGGTTCCCGAATACACACGAATGGAGCTTGCAAGGATGACGTGGAAATAATTCCGGATCAAAGAAATTAAGGAGTGTTTATACAGTGATTTGTTATATGGTATTCTATCGAGTATGAAAAACGCCTTGTATTGTTTTGATGCAACTAAGGAGTACTTGGCTGATTGGGTCATAGGTTAATTTCTTTATGTTAGGGCAAAGAAAATACCATATCAAGAGTCCAATGACACGAAAAATAATAACATTTTTCATTATAATTTTGTGAAATGGTGGAAGTATTTCTTCATATCCTGATGTTTTTCCCGGTGACTTGGGATTAAGACAAATCAGTTATTATTGATCTCATACTGTTAAAAGATTTAAATTAATTATCTATGCAGTTTTAGTGGGATGATATGTTCACACTATATTGATGGAAAGTTTCCCCCAAAATGTTTTGTACAATTGCTCAGTATAGTAATAATATTGAACTTGGTTCGATCACGGTCATATGCTTCAGATTTTTTAATCTCAACTTTGGGCATTTTTTAGTAAATAATACCAATTACACTCGTTTGAATACTGAAAGAATGTTGCTACAATTAGGGCAGACATGGACAACGTCTTTGCAGCTCTTTGCACAGAATGGAATCAGACAGCATCCGCACCATCCCCTGAAAAGCAATGACAACGAATATTTTAATTCCTGGGTTCAGGTAATTTTCCAGCTCGGTTACTGTTGTGGGAGGGGGGTTGAATGGACAATATATTTTTTCTTCTAGCGACGAATTACGACAATTTTATTTGGCCATGTAGTCGTTCTCCGTTTAGAGTATATTTAATATTTATTTCACAGACGACTTGCACATGTAAATAATATCGACCATGTGAGTATACTTGTTTACCTATTACGTCACAGAAACACTTCGTGTCACAAGAGGGCGCGATCTATAGGGAAGGTGTATTTAATACTATGCATCTCGCAGATTATCCTAAAAGTTTATAACTAGTTCTCGGTCTTTAAAATGGGGAAGAGGTAAATGTAGATTTTAAATGAGGTAGACTGCACAAATACTAAAATATCAATATCCGAATACAGAAATTAGTGAGTGTCGTCGACCAACATGGCGACCTCTGGGGCGGGAACCTGGCTATTTGTCATAACTGTTATAAATTCGCAATAAGGTGAAAGAACACTTACCCGATAAGGCAGATAATACAACAGATGGCCCACGTGATCATTCCCTTTTTGTATTGAAGCTTAGTGATGACGTCAGTATTGCAATACGGACAGTGGGTCTGCACAGGTGCATGACGGTAAACAACTGTTTGCGACACTGTTGAGGTAAACAGACATGCGCATTAGGGCCACAGTCACTTGGGAAAAGTAGAGAAATAGTTTAAATGTCCATAGGGGCTGGTCAATTTTAATAACAGAGATATAGGGGTTGAACGATCAATTGAAGACTGTCTGTGATTACGCCGACATAATGATGTAACTGTATCGCTGTGAGCTGTTCCATATTTGAGAAACTTTCAAAATGGCATCTTCGTATGAACATTATTGCGGTGATTCTTTTCATATTACGTCACATGGGTGCACAGTCATTGTTGTCACGCCCTTATTTTAATATACCCACATTAAATAACTTTGTAAATAAGCTCACATGGGTGCACAGTCATTGTTGTCACACCCTTATTTCAATATACCCACATTAAATAACTTTGTAAATAAGCTCACATGGGTCAACACTCGTTGTTGTCACGCCCTTATTTTAATATACCCACATTAAATAACTTTATAAATAAGCTCGCATGGGTCAACACTCGTTGTTGTCACGCTCTTATTTTAATATACCCACATTAAATAACTTTATAAATAAGCTCACATGGGTCCACACTTGTTGTTGTCACGCCCTTATTTTAATACCTACACACGCATTACATGACACTGTAAATAATCTCACCTTGGTTCACAGTCGTCGTTGTCATGGTGACTGTTGTAGAATCTGATAGTTGTACTTCCCCAGGAGGTAGTTTCTGCGGGTTGGGTTGTACCGGATCGTTGTCATGCTCTGCTATTGAGTAGAGTGACTGGTCCTGTGGCTGATGAGGATATGTCGCCTGTCTTGGTGACGGCTGCTGTGGGTATGCAGCATGTCCTGGTGGTGCTGTAGGCTGTTGAGGGTACGGTGCATGTCCAAGTGACGGTTGCTGTGGTAACGGAGCGTGTACCGGTGGTGGTTGCGGGTAAGGGGCTTGATTAGCTGATGATACCTGTTGAGGGTATGTTGATTGGTAACTTGGTGGTTCCACGGTAGGTGGCTGACCTTGTTGTGGGTATATCTGCCCAGAAGGGTACCCTTGGAAGTGATACTGTTCATTGTGTTGCCCATGGGTTGTCGGGAGTGATGCTTTGGTGTCCATATGGCAGATGGGTATTGTGTGGTGCCTAAATTGATCTTTGCTGTTAGAATTAAAACAGAGATATGAAATATCACATATGATTTTAAATATTTATCACGAAATACCATTTACTCCACAACAGAACGTTGTTCGTTGCACTCTTTTTCATATTCGTGATATTCTGCAATAAAACACGGGAAGAGTTGGCGATTCTTTTAAAACCATTTAAAATAACTATATGGACACATATTTTTGAGTGATATTTCGTGTTCAACATCAAATTGCACTATAATGTGTTTCTTTTGCAGCACAATAACAAGTGGATAACATATGAAAAACGCTAATACGCATGTGCAGTGAATGATTAGAGTTGGATGTATCGAAGATCAGTTTTTTATTGAACGAATCCCCGTCTGCGACAATAGCATTGTTTTTAGTTCACGGTGAATCGTAATCGAATGTATTCATCATCAAAACATGTTCTTGTTCAAACAACGTAAAATGAATGTCTAATCAGCATACTGTGCACATCACCATAGTAACTATATCGGTCAGCACATGTTATTCATTCAGTGATTTCTACTCTAAATATATGACAATGGTAGTTTTCTGCATTTCACAGTGTGTGAGTACGTGTCGATATTTCTCTCGGATATTATGTCCGTTAGCGGATTGAATAACATTATTAATACCAGTTATTAATCATAACTGTGATTGAAAAAGCATATAGTATATAAAATTCCGTCTTATATCAGAACTTTATTAAATTAATTTTCCCTTGCCTATTTTCAAACATATATGCAGCCAAAAAGCTGCGCGTCAGCTACACAAAGCAGCCTACTTTGTGACGCCAACGCGTGAATATACGGCCCGGCAATATGCTAGAACCAGCTCATGGATATCGCAATCAATTCCAATAAATATATAAGCCGTATTCTAAATCAGTGCCCAGAAGTTGTCTGGGCCATCTTTAAAGGGCGGTG